TACTTATTGTAATTTATAAGAGCTTGTAAACAAAAAATTTATAAATATAATCTTTCCCCAACATTTGTTACTAAAATAGTGGTTCCAATGTACCAAAAAAAAAATAGTGGTTCCGATTCAGGGATGATAATTGTGATTCACTATTGATTGTGGTTTAAGGCTTCATGGACACCTGCTTTGTTAACAGAATCGGGTTTATTGAGTTCCCGGGCTCTTCTTAATTACAATGTTTCCAATTGGGCCTAACATGCCCCGTGAAATAAAGGGTTTCTTAAGCCGATTTAGGCAGGTGCACTGTTTTTTCGTCGAAAATTGAATCTTAAGCATGCTTGGACGAACTTTAAAAAAAATTTAATTTCTTATGCATTATTCTTCTTTGTAGAACAATTTTTTTTCTAAATTCAAAGTTATTTTGCATTTGGACAAGTATTTAAAAAGGATTTTAAATAAAAAATATTATTTTCGCTAAAGCCAAAAATGTTGGCTTCCAAAAAAAGAGAGAGCATATTTTTAGCTTTTTCTTTTTTACCTTCAAAAGTTGCATACAAATAACACATAAATTAAAAGAGGACTTTTATTTATTTAAAAAAAAAACCCTCCAAACAAACTCTAAAATAATGCACGTTGTCACTAAAAAAACAACATCGTAGGCTTCATGCCTTTATTCTAACCCCTTAAAAAAATTGTTATTATTATTTTTATATTATTTCTTGATTCATCGAGTATGCAATCGTTGATTGAGTTATAACAATATCTTATCAATTGATCTACATGTTTGATGGTACTATTTTGTAATTCTCTCAAAACAATGAAGAAATAAAAAACATGCTTTTCAATAAATACAATGATAAGTGAGTTGTGTTCAAAAGATCTTAGGGATAGTAATCTTACGACAATACATACAAATATACTTAGTTAAAAACTAAAAAAACAAATAAAAATAAAAAGAGAGAAAAACTGAGATAGATGAATGGCGACAAAGAAAAAAAATCATGATATTAAGAGAGTTTTTTTTACCATTGTCATAAATTTGTTGAGATTCTCTTCTTCTTTTTTGGATAAAGTTGAGATTCTCTTTAATTCAATGCGAGCACAAATTATCAACCACTTTAATAACATATAGTGAAAAACCATAAAAAAAATGCTGGAATTCAAACCCATTATATAATTTATTAGATAAGATTAATCTAAAGTAAGTTTACAAAGTTAATTTAATTTAAAGTACATTGAAATATTTAATTCATTAAAATTTAAAGATTAATAGCCAATGAGTAAATGAGATTTGATACAACTGTTGAACCTTTCACCTACGTAAATCTTCATTTAGGTTGATGGTCTTCTCTGACCTTGCAAGAGACATGTCTTCCCTAAATTTAAACTTTTATAAAAAAATAAAATAAACAAATACACCTTTATTTATATATTTTACATACAAGCTCACTAATCTTTTTTTCCTAATTTACCATAATAACAATCGACATTTATTCCAATTAATCAAAATTTAATATTTTAAAAAGAAAATATGTCATATTAATAAATTTAAATTATTTTAATTCATGACATTAAGTATATCTTTTAGATTAATGACAATATGATTATACGAAATAGTTGTTGTAATTAAAATCTTGAAAAATTATAAAGATATTAATGATATCGTAAAATGGCTTCGGGAATACATTAACAATAGGAACGAATTCATGTCAAAATACTTTTGTATTAACAACAAAATTAAATGTTAAATTGGTCCGATTTGAAAAAAAAAATGATAAATGAGAAGTAATATAAGGTGCTATCTCAATTGGTTATGTAGCTATACAATGTCTATGAGAGGTATGTAGTGTTAATGTAGACTTAACAAACTATAAAAGAAGAGGTTAATATTCGACTCTAGGGAGGAACCAGTTATGCACTTGCCCATGGACTGTGCCATGGAATAGGAAAATGAAGGACTAAAGGCCCACTCGCTTTCACAATTATGTAATGGGCTAGAAAAGCAGAAAGGAGACCAATACTCACACGTATTTGCTAATTTCCTTACATATTTTAATTTAATTTCTGTAACAGAATTCAACTGTTTTGTTAATGGGTTTTATTAATCTCCTTTTAATAAGATAATTATTTTATGTTATAGAGAAAAGACGAATGAGCCCCACCATTAAAAGAAAAACGAAAAAGATGAAATGCAAAAATCAGAATAAGAGAACATGAAAGAAATTATTTTATGTAAAAAAATAGTAATATTTTCCTTTGTTAATTAGCGCATAGGGCATGACAGAAGATATACAACAAATTACCAAAAGTTCTCTCTCTTCTCTCTTTTCTTCTTCCTCTTACTTTAACTTTTTACAGCTACGCACGCTATTTACGTATGAACCCCTAAACTGCTTCCCGAAGTGAACTTGTGCTCACACATCAAGACAACACTAAATTATAATGTATGTGGCCTAGACAAATCACAAGCCATGCAAAACTTATTCTGGTCGATGCATAATGCGTTAGTAGTTGGCCGGAGTTTTACCATTTTCATTTGTCTAAAACCAACAAGTCACACAAAACTTGAATAGATGAGGTGTCATAAGATTCTTATCCTATCAAACACGATCATATAAGAAAATTTTTGTTTTCAATTAAAATCAAACTTGAGAATTATAAGATCGATCATTCGATGAAAACTAATCAAAATTATTTAAAATCTAATGACCAACTGATAGTTTTAATCAGTTTAACTAACTGAATATGAAATCTTTTGAAAAAAATGGCTTAATTTTTTTTTTTTTTTTTTGGAGTTACCCAACTCTAATTATCTCTTTGAGACGAGTTGGCTTCCCCCGGTATCTCCACGAGCTTCGACTCTTTGAGCCGTCTATGAAACTAATCCGGAGTGCGGGTGAACAGTGATGGCTAAAGGTTCAGCCCCCTCCCCAAGAATGCATTAGCGGGAATCGAACACATATTCAACCCCACTAACTCAGCGCCAAGTTACCAACTGAGCTGCACCATTGGGTATGGCTTACATTTTCTTTCACATTACATAAATGTTTTTCATATACTTTATATTATTGCTTTTTTTTTTTTAAAAAAAAAATACTGCATGTGGATCAAACCAGTAAACCAAAGCCAGAAAATCTCATTGATCCATTATTTGGTCTGTTTTTAACAGTGATGTTATTCTTAGGGTCCCTCCACTGGTTTTTTTTTTTTTATTGCAATAGACACAGAAAAAGTGGGATCCATTTATTAAAAAAAAAAACTAAGAATCCATCGACAAATCCTAGCTTTTATATGTGTTGCTGCTGCAACAGTTTTTTTATTCAGCAACATAACTATATTTCCCTTATTATTATTATTATTATTATGGGATAAGTTATATTTACACAAACTATATTATATAATGGGTTCGCTTTTTCTGCAGTTATTGCAGATAAGTTATCTGTAGTAAGCCTAATACGACGTCGTTTTGGGCGAAAATTATAGTGTTTTTGTAATTTTATTTTATTTCAGGCTTATAATAGTCTTTATATTTATAATTTTTTAAGATTTTAATACCAAAACGAGGCTATTTTAAGAATAAATGCAGATAACTTATCTGCATTAACTACAGAAACATTTTTCTCTTATATAATATATGTTTTGGATGACCCCAATCAGTTGGCTCATTAAGACAGGCTCAATTCCCCTTCACTTATCTGCATCAGCTCTGCTGAACATAACTTACCAACCTTGCCCCCCCATTTTGTCCCTATACTACAGATTCCCCAAGACATCAAAGTGTCTTACGTTGGGATGCTACCTTCTTTTGATATCCTTCCCAGACTAGCTTTTTGACCATTTTACCTTTCATTAATTAATTAATAACTATTTTGCCCCTGATCCAAAACTATCCACCAATATGCCCATCTTTAATCGATTAACTTGAGATTTAATCGATTAAATGGTCAAAATTGACAAAAAAAGTTAACTTGAAGATTTAATCAATTAAATCTCCCTTGTAGTCGATTAAATCTTCAAGTTCGTACCTATTGCACCATTGTCGTGTTATGCTCAATTTCATCATGAAGCCGAGCTATAAGTCTGCTCATTGTATCAAAGTCTCGATTCTCCTTAAGATGCTTAAATGGGATGTGTTGTTATAGCTTTGAAGATTTAATCGACTACGAGGGAGATTTAATCGATTAAATCTTCAAGTCAATCTTTTTTGCCAGTTTTGACTATTTAATCGATTAAATCTTCAACTTAAACGATTAAAGAGGGACAAATTGATAGATAGTTTTGAATGAGAGACAAAATGATTATTAATTAATTAATTAAGGGTAAAAGAGTTAAAAAGCCTTCTCAAACTCCCTAAATAGATGTTTCCACTTTACAATGACAACAACAAGTGACTGTCACTAGCATAACAAGAACTGCAAGGGGTGTTGCAGCAACAATACCAGACGCCTTTGACATTTTTCAAGGAGAATTGACCTGACTCGCCCTCCCATGCGAGCAAGGCATCCCATCTCTCTATAAATACTTCTTCCATCACCAAACAAGAACACCTGATCTCTACCGTTACCCTGCCCGATTCTATGAGCTCACATCGCAACTCATCTCCCCCCTACTTTTACTATTGAATACCATACCTAGAACATCATTGTCTAACTTGATCTCTACTTTTGCTGGCAACGATATCCTTATTATAGTGTTCACCCCTCTCAAAGGTATATAGCTAGCTTGCAGCTCTCAACAGTATATTATAAATAATACACATTACTATAAATAGTATATATTACTACATACTTAAATAATATGAACTACTCATAATCCATAATATAATTGTAAGAATTTACACACCTGTAAATATAACTATTCTCTGTTATTATTATTTAAATGGTTTTAATTTTAACACTATACTGAGTTGGCTAGCGTCAGCACCAAGCAGTCCAACATCCAAATGCCTAATACGTAGCTGTTAAAAGAAAAAACAAAACAGCAACAGGGAAACTGCGATTGGACTTACTACAATACATATTTCTCATTGCTTTGCTTGCTCCGCAACTGAGCAACACACCTCCATTCTCCTTCTTCGTTTCGGCCATTCCAAGGCCAATTTCCACACAAACCCCATAAATTTTCACGCCCCCATAAAGCCTCTGGCACTCACGGTGCACCAATATAATAGTCATCAATTGTTCCCACCATCAACTTCTGGTGATTAAGAGAGAGGAAAGAGAGAAAGTGAAGAGCTTTTCAACAATAAATACTGTTCCAAGGCTTAATAGTGATTTTTCTTGTCTGATGGCTCTTCACTGTGGTGCTTTCTGCTTAAAAAGTGTGGCTTCTCACCCTCCAGGTTCAGTCAAGTTCAGTCAACCCTCTGTCAAAGCTTCAGCCTTTTCTTGCCCTCTTTCCCCTCCCCTTGTCCGATTGAATATCAAAGGTAATCGAGTTCTGGGTCATCATCAATTTAATTGTTTGAGTCTATATTTTGATGTTGGTGGATGAAGAGCCCATATCACTGTTTTGTTTTTGAAATGAGAACATTTTGTTTTAATTTTGCAGATAAGAGATACATTTTAATTACAAGCTTACAAAAAATTGCAGAAATATGATTGTACTTGTTGCTTGTTTATTATTACATAATATTGTAACTCATTAAGTTAGTGATCGGTATTCAATTTTTTTAAATCCAAATCTTAATGCATGTTGATCATTTGGCACAATAAAAGTGATATAAAGATGAGCTAGTGCTTTCTATTTTTGTTTGCAACTAGGGAAAAGATGCAGTTTTACTATCAATTTAAATTTTGTGCATATGAGCTTTTAATTTAAGAGCTTATGTTGCTTCTTTCTTTAGTTTCACTTTTGGAGATATCAAGCTATGAAAATATTTTTACCTCTCAAATTTTGTTTGTTACAGGAAAGGCATTTCCTGGTGATGGGACACCTGAAACAAAGGAATCCCCTCTGGTGGTTTGTTTCGGGGAAATGCTCATTGATTTCGTCCCAACTATCAATGGCCTTTCTTTGGCTGATGCACCTGCATTTAAAAAGGCTCCAGGAGGTGCCCCTGCTAATGTTGCGGTTGGCATAGCTCGATTAGGAGGTTCATCAGCTTTTATCGGGAAGGTATTGTATAAATACTTCTAACGGTTCTTTCTGTACTTCCGATAGGTGTAGGAAGCATCATAATTCATGTGCAACTAAGGCATACAACCAATATTGACTTTGCTTGCAAACCTTAGATTATCCCTGCATCTCATATTCTTGGGCAGCCAAACTTTGCCCAAAAGAAGGGGCTTTGTTAAGAACCACTTCAACCCAAAACCTTAAGGTGTTGGGTGAGAGCCTTTTTAGTGGTTTATATTATTTTCTAACACACCCCCTCACGCAAGAGCCCTTTGGGCTTGAAGCGTGGATATTGCATAGGTCCAATTTTTTGTTTACCTTTTTGTGCTTTTTTATTTAATTTCACAAGTGGAGGGCGTTGAGGATTGAACTCGTGACCTTATGGTCACTGAAGCTCTGATACCATGTTAAGAACCACTTCAACCCAAAACCTTAAGGTGTTGGGGTGAGAGTCTTTTTAGTGGTTTATATTATTCTCTAACAGGCTTGCCTTGTTAATCCCATCACATTTGTTCTCAAAATTAGTTTTTGTGAAAAGGAAGATAAGATTGATCATAGGTTATTACTCCCATTTTGGTCCCTGAAAGATTCATGGGATATAAGATTAGTCCTTGAAAGATTTGTGTCATCAGTTTGGTCCCTCAATAATAACGTGTCACCACATAAGTCCCTCTTTTCTTTCTTGGGGGATTAAACTGATTATACAAACCTTTCAGACTAATGCGATGCCCCGTGAATCTTTCCGAGGCCAAAATGAGTGTTAACTCAGTTGATCAAGTAATGTGCTGGAACTTGATTTTTTCTTTGATATTATGATATTAATAAACCCTTGATATATTCTGTATCAGGATCTTGTGAACTAGTATGCAGTTATGGTTTTTGTCAATTTTGATTTCCTATATCAACTGGTAGCAATAGGTGAATATGTCATGTGAACCTAGAAAAGGAGCTCGTACTCCTTAGATGCCCACAACTGAACTCTGCAGGCATGAATTTTGTTCTAGAGGTCAGCAAGCCATACAAGAAGCATGTTTATTTGTGAATCTGAAATTTGGTTGTGAAAAAAGTGTAATTTCAACTGACAATTAGAGATCCATTATCATTAGCATTTAGGATCATTGAAGTTTATCAACTTTCTTAATGTTATACTGACTTTACTAACTACTACTTTTTTCTGACTCGTGCATAGTGCCCAGAAATTGAATCTTAAGTTATTAAAATGCCAGGTTTTCTATGCCATTGCTTGCTAGTTTAAGGAGTAGTTCCATTTTACAAGAATTTCCTGATAATTAATGTTACATGATCAGAAATATGTCCATAATTATGTGTTTCCTGCTAATTTTCAATAGCCCACTTACTATTTAATTTTTCCTTCCATTTGTATGAAAGGAAAATAAGATTCTGACAAGATAAACAGACTCAAATTACAAAGGGTGTTTTACTTTGAATAAATTAGAAGTCATAGTTAAATTTTCTCCTCTAAATTCAGGTTCAGCAAGAGTTTAATGCTTCATGCAACATGAACAGGTTGGGGAGGATGAATTTGGATATATGCTAGCTGATATACTCAAGGAAAATAATGTAAACAATGAAGGGATGCGTTTTGACCCTGGTGCACGTACTGCTTTAGCATTTGTTACACTGAGGAGTGATGGAGAACGAGAGTTCATGTTTTATCGTAATCCCAGTGCTGATATGCTGCTCCAAGAAGATGAACTCGATTTGGACTTAATCAGAAAGGTAAAGCCAAAGTTGCAATTCGTGGTAGTCAAACTAAAGCAAAATGTATGCCAGAATCCATGAGTTGAATCATAGGGAAATTAAATCACTATTGAGCAAGTTGTTCAATATTCTTTCTGTTGCACTTTCCTCAATTAATTTAACTTTGTTCAGTTACTCAATTTGACTTCATTCAACTGGTAGTTTTTGGATTTGTTTAAACATAACTATTCACTGTGTAAGGATCTTAACCATTTTTTTCATTGCTGATATACATTACTGTTTCTGTGGTTTAAGAACTACCTTTTAGGTTTCCTTTATAGCTTGCAATTCACCAAATGCTTGCTGAGTCTATGTTCCTTTTAATGTTTTTCTCCATGACTCTATACTTTAATTCAAAATTATTGTAGTAACATTGTTCTATCATTTCTTTCTGGCAGGCCAAGATCTTCCATTATGGTTCTATAAGTCTTATAACAGAACCGTGCAAATCAGCACACATAGCTGCAGTAAAAGCTGCAAAAGATGCTGGTGTAGTTCTGTCTTATGACCCTAACCTGAGGCTTCCTTTATGGCCTTCTGCAGATAGTGCTAGAGAAGGAATTCTGAGTATATGGGAGACTGCAGATATCATTAAGGTTCCTCTCCTATCAATAGGGCAGAATATATGTTTTTTAGTTCCCAATAAACGTTTCTGTTTCCCTTTTTCTAGAATGCAGATTACAGGGAATGTAAAATAGAGATATAACACCATCTCTAACAGAACCAATTTGATAATTATTTTCAGACAAGCGAAGAAGAGATTTCTTTTCTAACAAATGGTGAAGACCCATACAATGATGCCGTTGTTCGTAAACTATTCCATCCAAACCTCAGGCTACTCCTTGTTACTGAAGGTCCAGATGGTTGCAGGTATTACACTAAGGTAAGCCTTCTAAAGATGATATTTTCTAAAATTCATTTCAACTAATGCTAATATTGATTTTATGGCCACCCTCTAGTGTTTCTTCAAAGGCATGGCTGTAACATTTAACAATTAAATTGTTACTGCATACACTGTACCCTCATATTCTTGTCAACTTAATAATTGAAACAGGTTATTTCTAACACAGTATATGTATAATTATTAGTTCTTTCAGAAATTGATTACAATAAATGCATAAACAAGTTATTTCTTTCAGAAATTGATTACAAACAGCTAAAATAATCCTGGAAAAATTATTAGTTCTAATAACAATTATGCAGCTTGTTATAGTGTAGTATACATAATTTTGATGTGAAACCTCTCCTATTTAATTCTTTGCAGGAGTTCAGTGGTAGAGTCGAGGGTTTGAAGGTAGATGCTGTTGACACCACTGGTGCTGGTGATGCTTTTGTGGCCGGAACATTATTGCAATTAGCTGAGGATCTTTCATTACTTCAGGTGAGCAAAATATATTTTGCTCTTGATGTTAACCATCCCAAAAGTTTGCATCAGACAACTGTTAGAAACTCATCTTGTGTGTAATATCTATTATTGTTTGAATTATCAAAGAAAATTTGCTCTGTAAAGAATAATTCAACCCAAAAACTTAAGCTTTTGGGTTGAATCGATTCATTACATGGTATCAGAGTCTAAGTGTCCCGGGTTCGATCCTTGCCACCCCCCATTTTCTTTGTGGAATTTTTTAGCACAGGTAGTAGGCCTGATGCATCATCCATCTTTCAAGCCCAATGGACTCTCTTGTGAGGGAGCGTGTTAGAAATATATAAAACCACTAATGTAACCTCACCCAACAGCTTAAGCTTTTTTTAGCTTAAACTTTTGGGTTGAGTTGGTTGTTTACATGGTATCAGAGCTTCTGTGTCACAGGTTCGATCCTCATCACCCCATTTTCTCTTATGAAATTTCTTAGTACAAGTAAGTGAGTCTGTGTATTATCCACCCTTCAAACCCAGTGGGCTTTCGTGTGGTGGGCATGTTAGAGAAGTGTATAAATTATTCATGGACCTCATTTAACATCTTAAGTTTTTGGGTTAAAATGGTTTTTTTTTCTTCTTCGGTAAATAGGTTAAAATGGTTCTTTATATGCTGTATATCTTGCATATTGATACTGCAATTTTATGCATGTTACTCAATGTAAAACAGAAGAATTGAAACTGGCTTGATTAAAATAATATCCCTGCACATGTCCCCCACAAGTGAGGTTTAGGTGTAAATGATCTAAGCCTAGCCAAGCTTACCTTCAAGACCTACATTTCAGTGTTTCTCCCGTTCCTGGTTTATTTTATATTCAATTTTTTCCATCTATATTTTTTTTCTTAAACCTTATGTATGTGGTTTTAACTTGCAGAAAGAGGAAAAATTGAGAGATTCTCTCAAGTTTGCGAATGCCTGTGGTGCATTGACTGTGACCGAGAGAGGAGCAATACCAGCTTTGCCCACAAAGGAAGCTGTTCTGAATGCCATGCTCAGGCCCGTATCGTAACCCTGCAGCCCAATCTCTAATCATGCGAGGATATTTGTTTTTTTTTAAATTTTTTATGGTAAATTCTTAGGAACTCTGTGAGCTAATGCAATAAATAAGAACTAACTGTTTCAATAATTTGCTCAGTGTAAGCAAATTCTATCTAGCAATCTAGTCCACCATTGGGTAATGGAGAATCGTTCTTCATCCAACATTAGTTTATATTTTTCTCGATAATTTGCAAAGTGTCTCCTATTCAGTTCATATGGTTGCATATTGAACTTGACCTACCAGGCAAAATCTTTTCTAGCAATCTATCATGGAGTTGCATATTGCTATGTCCAATATCAGTACTCTTGATAACCCATGATATTATGTCAACTTGACTTCTTTGTGTAACAGCCAGGCAAAATATGTATCACGTTTATATATTTACATTTTGTTCTGTAATATTTTTACATGTGGCTTACAACTTACAAGGCGGACCAAAGAATAACTCCCAAAGAATTATTATGCTGTATTACAATTTATCCTCCCTAACTAGCGCAAAGATGGGGTAATACTCACAAATTTTGATATAATAAATTTTCAATAGATATTCACAAAATTTCATAATATTTGTTTAAGAAATGGAATGGGGTTACAAGTTAAAAGTTCATACTTTTAGATTATGGTTGAAAATGTTTAACATGGGAATTTGATAATTTCATCTTAAAATTTTGTAGGATCAATTCATATAGACAAGACTTCCAACATTAAGTGAGAAAAATGTTGTACCTCCATTCCATTTCCTAAACAAATATTGAAACGTTTTTCAACCATAAACAAGTATGGTAAAACAGTTATGAACCATGCTATTTTAAGACAACCCCGACATTAAAGGATGTCCTTACATCAAGGGAAGGCAAACTCTTTAAAAACCAAGTTACCAAGTTATTAGGCCCTTGACCAATCTCCAATTTCAGTGCAACTCCAAAAGCCATAAGGAACTCGTTGTCATTCTTCACACATATTTATTATTCTACAATGGCTGATGATCCACAAGATGTAGCTGACAGGGAGCGCATTTTCAAGCGTTTTGATGCCAATGGCGATGGCCAAATCTCTTCATCGGAACTCGGGGAAGCACTGAAAACACTTGGATCAGTGACTGCAGAAGAAGTGCAAAGGATGATGGATGAGATTGATATTGATGGGGATGGGTACATTTCATACGAGGAGTTCACAGAATTCGCCAAAGCCAACCGAGGTCTAGTTAGGGATGTTGCCAAAATCTTTTAAGTTTCTCACCCTCAACCCACTTTTGTTAATTCATTTCATTCTTCCTTCCTCTATGCTATTTTGTCAGCAATTGGAAGAGAAAATGGTTTTTGTGTGTGCATGATTTCTATATACTTTATGACAATGAGAGTTTCATTAAATTCATCATGTCACCCTCTTTTGGATTTTTTTCATATTTGAACACCCTTTTTGATAGCTGTATGATTATGACATGCGGTTGGTTTTATCTTTTGACGTGTTTGCTCTCACCAATTTGCATTATTATAAAACAATTAGAAATGGATCTAATAATCTCAAATGGGACCTGCTTTAAAACACAAAGCTCGTAGTTTTGTACGTCATCTTAAGATGTATCCAGACACATTACATGGTTTAATATATTACCTTTCTTCACCTAATCTTCATCTATTCCTGATTTCCTTCCATTCGCTTGGTTGTGTGTGCGTGTTTTCTTTGGCCTGGATCGGTGGAGAGAACTAGAGCAGGGTCTTCTAAAACTTGTGTGCTTTAGGGCCAAGAACGTAAAATAGCCAAGAAAAGAATTCCAAGAACTCACAAGGATAAACAGATAATAGAGTTTTCCAATATGAATGTGACGTTAACCATAAAGAATGAATGAAAATCTATTACACTTTACCCTTTGAGAAAAGGGGAAGGTAAATGGAAGATGTATAAACAAGCAATCTTCTTCTGAGCTCCTATTTCTATAAACAACGTCAGAACGTTCATATCTAATCCCTATCACTATTAGTGAGAATCATGGCAAAAATATGTGTTAACGATCATAAAGATGATCATCATCCTCATACCCTGGAACTCCTACCATTGCCAAAGCCAAGTGACTTTTCATCTCATTATTTGTTTGTTGGAATTGAGGGTTACAATCAAACACGCATCCATTCCCAAAATGACCAGACTTCCTTGTTCTAGAGAAAACAGGCTTTTCTTCACCTTTCAGTATCGCAAGAATCTCATGTATGCCTGGTCTCCTATATTCTTCACTTGTAACACAGGCAGCTGCTGCTTCAACCATCCGAGCCATTTGATTTGAGAATCTGGAACTGTACTTGAGTTGAGGATCAAGCAACTCTTCAATGGCTCCATTCCCTTTCTTTAGCAAAGGTTTAGCCTACAAATAAATGTCAGATTGGATGTGTGTCAAAAAGTCCAAGTCCATTTGATAATACTGTTCTTAAACACAACTAATCATTTAAACACCAACTGAAATTAGCAGCACAATTGTAGTCATAATTTGTATGAGTTTTCTAATTTCTACTACAAGGGAAAATTATTCAATTTTGGAAACTGCAAGGTACATAATTAAGCACTGCATTAATTTCAATCACAAGCCATAAAATTTGATCATTGACTCACCCATAAGATCAAGTTCTCCTCTCCCGAAGATCTTCTAGCTTCAATTGGCTTCCGGCCAGTTATGAGTTCCAATAAAACAATTCCAAAAGCATAAACATCAGTCTTATCTGATACTTTCCCATGTTGGAAATACTCAGGAGCCAAATAACTGTTGAGAAAGAGCAGGTATAAAATACTTTATTTCAATACTAGAATACTGAAACAAATAATGCTAAAAGACCCAAAAAAAAATGCAAAATCAATATGAAAGGGGTTTAGTTCTTACCCAAATGTTCCTTTGACAGTTTTGCAAAGGAAAGGAACTGAAGGTGCGGAAGTCCATGTAGCTAATCCAAAATCACATATCTGCAATTTAACAAAAAACAATCTTAATTACTTGTTGAGGGCGAGCCTTGGAGCAGTGGTATGCCAGAGCATCTTACCTTGGGATTCTTCCTAGAGGAAAGCAAAATGTTTGAAGGCTTAATATCTCTGTGAACAACACATCTTTCTGTTCCATTGTGCAGATAAGCCACGGCTTCTGCAATCCCAATTGCTATTTTATACCTCAAAGACCATGAAAGTGGTGAACTACGCTTCCCACTCTTCTTCTTCTCTATAAAATAGGTAAGCTACAATCAGTGAAATTCATCAAATTAAATTGTAAACACCATAAACAGAGAGTCAAGGAAAATAGGTTAAAATGAGTACCATGCAAGTGATGCTCTAAGCTGCCCCCTGATACATATTTATACACCAAAAACAAACCCTCCTCTGAGTCAATACAAAAACCCACAAGGGGAACAATGTTTGCGTTATGAAGAGAACTGGCAATCATCAATTCTCTACAAAAAGTCTTGGTACACTCCTTGTCTTCCTTGTCCAACCGTTTAATTGCAACAGCAGTCCTCAAAAGTCCAACTCTTCCCCTAAAAACACAGCTCAAGGCCCCTCTCCCCAATACTCTTCCTGCTCATAAAAAAACAATGAATCACAATCTCACACAAAGGAATTAAATTTGATTTCATCAACAGAACACACACACACACACACAAAAAAAGTTACCTTTGGAGAAATTGCGTGTGGCAGATAGAATTTCATTATAGTTGAACCTGGTCAAAGTGTTGACCACTGGGGATATGCTTTTCTCCAATGACTCCATTCTCCTCCATTTCATCTCCCTTGCTCGAGATACATATTCCAAATTCACCATCAAAACGGTTGCAGCAGCAGCAGAAGAAGAAGAACACATGTTGAAGGATTCATCCTCAACCTGAGAACGGAAGCTGAACCTGAAAGATGAGTGAACCGATTGCGGGTCAGCACTTGCCAATTCTGCTTCACACCCACCAGACTCTGCCAGCAACCACGCCTCGTTGTGCTCCAAAGTTGTCTTTTTGAAGCCGTCGCCGTCGTTTTTGTCACGATAAGGAACAGGAACACATGCAAAAGCAATCTCCCATATCATTTTTCTCAAAAAGTTTCGGAATTTGAGCCTCTTGTAGTCAAATAAGTCTTCTGTAACTGCAGAAGAGGAAACGTGTGGAGAAGTATCTGGAGCATTGGAAGGATTCCCTCTGTCAGTGCAGATTCCTTCGGAGAAACCCATCATGAGCAACAGCACAAAAAACGCAGAAAACAAAACGATAGAGAAAGAAAAAGAAGAAAAGTGGTAGAGAATGATCTAAAAGAAAAAATAAGAGTTAAAGCTGCTTTGCTTGTTGGATTGGAGAATATTTTCTCAACAGCAGAAAAAAGAAGAGGGAGACATGTGAAGTCAAGTGGGCAGGGCTGTCTTTGAATGACTGAAATTAAGGTTGTATCAGAGTGAAAGAAGGTGAGAAAATGTTGAACATGGGTGAGAGTTAGAGCGGTAATGAGTATGACCATGCTTTTATTGGTAGTTATGGGACAAAGTTTTGAAGTATTGGATATGGTTTCGCCTCGATCAATATACGGGATTTTTTTAATCTAGACCCGGTGCACTATTTTTAAGGTGCACCTTCTCTCAGAACAGAAAAAAAAATTTCCACTTAAATTCTTTTTTTCTTCTTAAATTTTCCCTCAATCTCTTTTTTTTTTTCATTTTAGAACAGGAACTTCAAAGTCCCATTCATATAAAATAAGTTCCGATATATGTTACTTTAATCCTTTTAAACTTTGAGTTTGGGTGGTTAACGTCTCTTTCTTCTTTTTTTCGGAAGTACATGTCAGTTTTGACTTGTCCATCGGTGACTTTTAGTTTTAATCCCTCTAAAATTTAGATTTTTATTTGTGCCCCTTTTTTTAAAAAATCCATCTTTTTTTGATGATTTCATCCATTTCACTTTTGTAAATGTTCACGAACCTCTTTGTGAATGTGAAGGTGAAGCCAAAAATCCGAAATTTTTTTAAGAGTAAACCCACAACTGCTATTGGATCTGGCTCCAAAAACAAGGTCATTTTTTATAAGGACTTACTTTAAAAGAAATAAGAAACACATATCAAAACCTAATTTTCAAAATAATTAAAATAAAAAATAATATATTTATAAGAAAAAATTATATTTAAACTGGTTTTTAATATGGGAAAATATTTCTCATATTGTTATAAAAAAAAAATATTTCTCATATCGAGAGTTGTTATTTTCTTCTATTAGTGATTCTTTTATTTTCGTGCAATGTTTTTTTTTTTTTTTTTTTCTTTATAGATATGAACCCCACGTAAAATGTATCTACAATATGAGAAATTTTTTCCGGCCGCATGAAAAAATCAAAACCCTTTTAATATAAAAGAAGAAACAGAGCTTGAGTTGACGGTGGTAGCTTAGCAAGAGAATCTTGATTTTAAGATTGAAGGTTGACAGAAAGAAGAACAAACTAGAAAATACCTTTGCAGCGGAATATAGATGTTAAGTAGCTATGGGGAGCGATGTAGCACCGATACGACACGCGACATGTGACACAACGCGACATTACACTCCGATATGTCAATCCTAAAAAATTATGAATTTCGACACGTTGGACACGTTTTAATATTAAATAATATTTTTAATTTATATAGTGTATATTTCATTTAATATTTAATAATTTAACAAAAAATGAAACTAAATTATAATACCCATCAACACGTTATAAAGATGGAAGCTTTAATAAAAAAAGTAAGAACTGAGATGAGAGAGATGTAATATCAGATAGAGAGATCAAATCATATTAGAGAGAGATCAGAGACAAATAGATACAACAAGAGCGTGATAAGAATTGATAACAATGAAGCTGAGATGATATCTTATCTACTTAAGGGAAAAAAGACAAAAAAATAAAACTGATATGATCAAGTAAAAGCTTTATTAATATATTTTCATTTTTTTTTAAAGTTTTAAAAAAAAATTATGAAAATGTCATTTGACCGTGTCGGACACGGTCAAATTCGTGTGTCGGAATGGTCAACGTGTCGAAAAAAGTTGACCGCGTGTCCGACACCGTATCGGAGCGTGTCGCCGTGTTGGAGCGTGTCGGACACGATTCTCTCTTATTTTACAAGTGTCTGTGCTTCCTTAGTAGGGTGTGGGGACTCATTAAAAAAAAGGGATTACCAACTAGGTAATTGTGTTTTGGAGAGAGAGAGAATATAAGAGAAAACAAGAGATAGGAATCCATTTTAATTTTAACGTGATGTAATAAGTTGACATAATACAAGAAGTCCAATTTGAATCGTCCCATAGTAAAGAAAAAAAAAACTATTCTAGAATTATTATTATTATCGTATAAAATTTATTAAATTTTTATATTTTTCTGAAAAATATTTTCAGTATTATAAGCCAGTACATTCTTGTTAAAATTAGAAGAAGAAAAATATCTAATTTGCCTCTCTTTTTTCAACCCTTTTATGATTATTGACCTGAATTTTATTTTATTTTATTTTTAGTAAAAATAAATACTCTTATAACCATGGAGATATGCTCCAATATCTGATTGATTTTACATTTTGTGAGCATACACCCAACCCCAAAGGCCCGAAGTATGCATTTTGACTCTTTTACTCTTTATTTATTAATTAATAATTATTTTGCTCCTTATTCGAAACTATCTACTAATCTGTCCCTCTTTAATCGATTAACTTGAAGATTTAATAGATTAAATGGTCAAAAATGACAAAAATGATTGACTTGAAGATTTAATCGATTAAATCTTCAAGTTAATCGATTAAATCTTTCAACAGGCAATAAATGTCAAATCTCCTCCATAAACAAAAGCAGATTTCATGCATATGAAGCAAATCAGCAAGTTAATAAGAGTTTATTGCGATTTGTATTTAATAGGAGTTGATTGCGTTTTGTATTTAATAGGAGCTCATTGTGTTTTGTATTTAATAGGAGTTGATTGTGTTTTGTATTTAATAGGAGCTGATTACGTTTTATTAGGAGTTGTCATTTTACGAGTTAGTTAATGAAATGAGTAAGAGTGTACATACCAACATTTGAATTGGTGACAATCTGTAACCAACTCGTAAAATGATAACTCCTAATAAAACGCAATCAGCTCCTATTAAATACAAAATACATTCAACTCCTATTAAATACAAAACGCAATCAGCTCCTATTAAATACAAAACACAATCAATCAATGCTTTCACGTTCATTTGGTATATTTACTCATTTCATTGAAATGTTGCCCATAAATAGGCTAAGAATTACAAATTACAAATAAATCTGAATTAGTGACAATCTGTAACCAACTCGTAAAATGACAACTCCTAATAAAACGCAATCAGCTCTTATTAAATACAAAACACATTCAACTCTTATTAAATACAAAACACAATCAGCTCCTATTAAATACAAAACGCAATCAGCTTCTATTAAATACAAAACGCAATCAATCAATGCTTTCACGCTGATATTTAATCGATTAAATATTCAAGTCAACCATTTTTGTCAGTTTTGACCATTTAATCGATTAAATCTTCAAGTTAATCGATTAAAGAGGGACAAATTAGTAGATAATTTCGAATGAAAGACAAAATAGTTATTAATTAATTAATGAAGGACAAAATGGTCAAAAAAAAAATCTCCAAAGTACTACCCAAAAAAATATACTACCGACCCAACCTAACAGGGAACGCCCAGATTATACGTTTTTTAGTATTTCACATATGTAATGGGTATATTAAATTCAAATAATATAAAAAAGTTTATACCAAGTTAATTTAAAAGAATTTAAATTAAAAAATGACGTGTGTCATTATTTAAGAAAGTAAATTTAATCGGGTGAGTCAAACAACTTATCAGCAGCTTGTAGGCCGGGTTTGGTCTTGTTTATTCAGTAAAATATAAGAGGTTCCAGCCTTAAAAAATGTTTATTTAGAAAATAAGCGACTTTTATAAATCTGGTTTATAAATTTATAGGCTATCCTATATTATATTATTCATTTTAATTAAAATAAAATAAAAACATTATTTAAATAATTCAAATTAATACAAATATTATTATATATATTTTTTAATTCCTGATAAATATTAAAGACTTGATATACTTAAATAAACTATAATTTTTAAATATAGGTTAAATCAAGTCTATAATTTAGCCTATACCATGTTAATAGGTTAGGCATGACCCAAAACATTTTATAAATGTTTGACTTATTTAAATCAAAGTCTAACTCAGCTTAGCCCAATTACAATCCTAGATTTAATCATTCTTAAAATATAGACTATAATTTAATATGTATAAATTGATTAAATAAAAAATAAATTTTATTAATTATTTTAAAATAATTGTATAGTGAAAACACCAAAATATAAATTAAATCTAAAAAATTGATTAAATTAAATGCATATACTGTACATTACACATAACATGTTTATAAAAAAGAAGAAGCTATAAAAGTCCCTAAGATAAGCTTTTCTTTAAGATGTATGTCAGATTTTTTTTACTCCTAATTTATTTTATAGTTTTACCCTTATTCTAAACTTGTATTTATAAAATTCATCATTTACCCTAATAATTCATTCTAACAATAATTTTTTTTATCTTCTCGCTTTCAAAATCATCCTAACAATTTTATATAGTCATCAAACAACTTTTTGTTTTATTTTGCAAGATCCTTTTTTAAACTTTAACTTAAAAATAGCTTTTAACTTAAAAAAAGAGAGGTGTCATACATGAAAAAAATTATACTTACAATCATATATTAATCTTTAATTTCCACCAATCAACGATTATCATTTATTGCGAATTAATAATTAATTAATGAATTTAATTTGCGAAAATAATAATCGTTGATTAACAGAACTGTTAAGATATAATTGTAAGAGGTTATAAACGAAAATAGGTTGTAAGTATAACATTTCTTGTCAAGCATACTCTTAGTGCCTATTTTTGGTATATCTTATTTTTAATTTCTCTTATCCTTAAAAGCACAAAAACTTAACTACACATGTTTTTATAAAAAAGTTACTATAAAAAGAGTTTTTATAATAAATAAAAAAGCTAAAAACTATTATAAGAGCCTTTTTTATGATGTACGCCAAATTTTTTTACTGTCATATTTATTCTACAGTTTTACCTATAATTATAAATTTTATCCTGTATCTTAATAATTTATTCCCACAATAAATTATTTTTTCTTCTCTCTTTTAAAATTATAATAACAAATTTTAGCTTTATTTTGTATTTTTTTTAACTGTAGCTTAAAATTTACTTTTAAATAAAAAAACAGATTTTAGCTTTATTTTGTACACTATTTTTTTTAACTGTAGTTTAAAATTTACTTTTAACTTAAAAAAAGAGAGAGTGCCAAAGAGGCTCTTAGCTTTTTACTTTTTTATGTATAAAAAAAGTTTTTTTTTTACAATAAAAAC